AAATCTAGAAGCCTTCATGTTAATGTCATCAGAGGATATTTTAAATGAAATAGATTCTGATGATGTTGTTATTATTATTGCTCAACAAAGCAAACTTTTAAATAAAAAACTAATGTTGTAGACTTGTGCCTAATGTAATTTTTGTCAAGGTTGTATTTTGAATATATTTAAATATAAATAGAAAAAAGGCATTTATTTATTTATGGGCTGGGCTGGTAATAACTTTTTCCACACAAAAATTTTAGGGCCAGTCCGCCCCTAACTAGATGATATCTTTTAATTTAAATGTTTAACGGAATAATATACAGCCAATGTCCACCCTAAAGGTCCATTCTAAATATTGGTGAAAAAATTTTTGAAATCGGATGAATAGTTTCGTAGATTACGTTCTACATCCAAACTTACAAACATTACCTCTTTATAATATTAGTATAGACAATAAACATACATTTAAATTAAATTACACAGTATTTTAACTGTATAAGACGCAACAGTATTTTGAAGGGACCCCAAGTATTACTTTGCGTACACTTTGGGGTACGGGTACCCCACTTTGGACATCACTGTTCTAATGGGCTCGTTAGATCGTTACTTCCGATTGGATAATTAACGTCACGTGGTCAGTATGGGACGATTTTAAAACAAAATTTGTTATAGAAGTGACACGACACGGCTATCCTTTTTTAAAGTTTAAAATACGCTATTTGCCAAGATATGTAAAAATGCAACTTAAGGGAAATTCCCTGGTCAAGCATGTATGTCACCCGGTCACTGACGTCACTGCAACGTAAAGACGATCACCGATCCGAAATCCATAAAACGTTTATTCTATATCTAATATTTCCGCAAACTAAGTAGCCTATAACTTTCCGTCAGAACGTAAAACCAATATCTCCATAATTTATTTGGATTGGACAAAAATTGCAGCAGTTACAAGGAATTCACACACACACGGACGAACGACAGCTTTTATATTAATAATTATAGCTCGTTGGTATCACCGGACGCCATTTTCTTCGCTATGTAAATTAACTTTCCTTCCTGAATTTCGTTAGTTTCGTAGGAAACGTCATTAATATCGAGCATGCGCACTGAGTGAAATTTGTATCGACTCGTTAGTAATTGGCTTAATTAGTTCGACTTGACCAACGTATGTAGGTCACGCCGAGTTGAATTGCTGTGGATTAGAAGGTAAAATGACCAGAATTACTGTCGACGTAAAGGAAGCTGAAAAAATATTTCGGATAAGACTGCACTAGCAACATTATAATAACCTCAGATATAGAAAGCCATTTGGTATTTATAGTTTAAGGGAATATGAATTTTTTAAATTATTTTTCTTTAAAAGGTATATTTAATAGGCATTCAGAAAACGCATAACATTTTTCCGGCGATCCGTATATAAAGTGCTATAAATAAAATATCATAGGACTACTTACCGATTGTTCTCTGTTCGAAATGCCATTGCTTAAGNAATTAATATATTTTTTCGTACATGATTCGTTATCCGAAAAATAAGTTATCCGAACCACCCCAGTCCCCAATCAATTCGGATAAACGACGCTCTACTGTAATTCTATTATGATATATATTATGATGATAAATATTAGTCGGATGCAACATAAGATGTCTATTGTCTTGATGTAAATAAATATAACTCAATTTTGCTTAAGAAATGAAAGATTAGGCCATTTAAAAGCAGAGTTATTTATCGATTTATCATACGTTGTTATATGTTGATTTTAATCCTTATTTAAAATGGAATGATATTTTAATATTGCTATTAACGATGTCTTCAAACTTCAGCGAATTCTTCTGCGAAAAGAATAAGTTATCAGGAACATGTCAGATGCGAAGCGAGAGGGTGGTCACGTGACCGGATAACATCGAGAAGTCACGTGACACGCTTCGTGCGCGTCCAATGTGCCGCCCCGCGACGAAAACAAGCTTAAGCAATGGCGTCTCAGACGGGACATGATCGGTAAGTAGTCCTATGATATTTTGTTTATAGTACTTTATATACGGATCGCTCGGGAAAATGTTATGCGTTTTCTGAATGTCTATTAAATATACCTTCGTTTAAAGAAAAATAACTTTAAAAATTCATATTCCCTTAAACTGTATAATTACCAGCCATTTTGTTGTAAACTAATTGGTCAAAATGTCAGCGAAAGTAAGAGTAGGGATGAGGTCATGCTCGGTTAACACATTCGACTTTACAAACGTATCGTATATATTGAATTTCTTCTGTAATGAATTTATATGAAGAAGTAAAAGAAAGGATGATTTAATAAGACGAAACAAGGAAGACAAAAGTTTATTGCGTCAGACATTTGGTAAGTCTTATTCTTTGTTCATTTTACTTTAATGTTTTTAATGCATAAACCAAGTGTCTTGCGAGAAGCATCAAATTCTCGTAACTATTGTATCAACTAACAAGAAACTTGTGGAAGCTGTCATTTTGGGTTTTTCGTTGGTTAAGTCGTGAAATTTTCTGTTCGTTAGTTGTAACGTGTCATTAAAATCCGCCATATTGGTTCGAAGTACTACGTTGGTTCTTGTATATTTCGAATGCAGTAATTTGTTTTTAAATCCTATAAAGCTGCCTAGAAGTTAGTAAATACATTTTACAACAGATAAACGTAAAAATGTAGTCATTAAAATACTTATGTTAATATTTAGCTGCTTGTTATATACGACAAAATTATGATAATACTCGATACTTAATTAATAACAAAACTGTAGATCAGATCTGAATTGCATCTATATTATGTTATTGAAACGAAAATATATATATCCTATGTGTAAAATGTAGTACAAAGAAAATGAATTATATAATTTTTGTAATTTTCATACAATTGTTCAGGCCAGTTTTTTTTAAATACATAGTATTTGTATTTTACTTTTGGGTTTTTAAAATAGTTTTATAAAGCTTATATAATACATTAAATATGAATTACATATAAATTTTTACAGTAAAATGCTTTTCTCATATCTTTTTTCTTGCATGTCACTTAGTCTACTTTAGTACTATTTGGGTTTTAATGTTTGATATATCACTATTTTGCTTCATTGTTCTTAAATGTGTTTTTTATATATTTTTGTATATATTTTGATATTTCATGTAATATAGTAAATACTTTTATTAATCATTCCAAACTTATAGATTCTTGGACTATGTCTTGTATTGTTGTGATAAAATACTTCAGTACAATATCTGAATTGAAAATAATATATACTAAAACTTCAAGAAATCAAAAATTTTTAATGATTCAGAACTTTGAACTGAAGAACTTACTTGATTTTATAATTAACAAATGAATTTCTGAAATTTATTCAGTTATCTGCAGATATTTCTATTGAATTGTATTCTTTATTCATAAGTTTCTAGGTTTTTCTCCAATTATCTGTAGATAAAATAAATGAGTATTTTTAGGAATGTCTGAAAACTACAGTGTTTCATATAATTTATTTGTAATTTATTATTTTTAAATTTCATTCTGTTAGTTGTAAACATCTTTTAATGCATTCCTCACAATAACAATACAAAGGTGGTCTACTAGTACTTTCAACCTTATAGAAATGTCATCTCCAGATGAACAAAAAATATAATTTAAAATTTATATAAAACTTTTATATGCAGTGGCACATTATCCTATGGGCAAAAGGGGCAATTGCCGGTACCCCAAAACAGTCTTTTTTCAGAAAACATTTCTCCCCAAAGAAAAATGTCTGAAGTCAGCACTGTACATGGGGCCATCTAATTCAAATTTTCCTGGGCCCAAGAAGCTATAACATATCGTTTTTCATCAAAAGATAAAGATGTGCCTAAAATTGAAAGTGAGTATTATATTTTGTGTGAGTTTATTTCCAGATGAACAAAAAATATAATTTAAAATTTATATAAAACTTTTATATGCAGTGGCACATTATCCTATGGGCAAAAGGGGCAATTGCCAGTACCCCAAAACAGTCTTTTTTCGGAAAACATTTCTCCCCAAAGAAAAATGTCTGAAGTCGTCAGCACTGTACATGGGGCCATCTAATTCAAATTTTCCTGGGTTCAAGAAGCTATAACAGCAGAGTTTTTATATAAATGATTTTTAAATATTAGTACCCTGTATTAGGCTGAATGCATTAAATGCATCTTAGAAGTCATGTTGAATCCAGTTTGTTTAGAATGTATCCTTCAAATTTATTATGCAGATACCTGAAGTTTTCAGTTAAATAATGCTAGATATTTGGCTTTTGATGGTTCAGATTCTTTCGAAAAAGGATATACAATGAAATATTTTCCTAGAGATTCTTTTTGGACAGAAGTTTGATAATACAAAAGAATGCCAGGAAAATTTGAAACCTTCAAATAGTTCTCCTTTGTAAGAAATTCATTTGAGTCTCAAATATGGGAGAAAATAAGAGTTGTTAGAAAATGTATCAAAAAAGGAGTGATGAAAAAGTTGAATGAGTTTTCATCTGATGATCTTGATGTAATTAAAGAATCTACAAAAGAAAATGATAGTTATTATACCAGAAAATTTGTTGAAAATAAGCCTCTAAACATGCACAGACTAATTTCTTATATATTTGGCTAATTAATAGTGTAGAAAAAAATTCAAAAATGTAGAAATACATTGCATCAATGGGATCCAAAAGAAATTTTCTTTCATGATATTCAAAACTAGTTGAAATTGAAAGCTTTAAAAAGTTGTTAATGTTTATTTTTTTTCTGGAAGATATCTTCCAGTAATGTAAGGTCTGTCCCAAAAGTTTAGGTAAATTTCAAAAATTACATCAAAAAACATTTTTAATGGTTAATTGTGCTTCCATTATTTTTAATAACATAATACACACGACATTGAATTCACAAGAATTTGTTACAATTGTGGTTTCAAGTTAAATCATGAATCCTCAATTGCACATTTTAAGTTCCGTAACATTGGAAAACTGACAGCCACCTTTCTTGTCATGATCCCCATAAGTTTTCTGTTGGGTTTAAGTCAGAACATCTTGTGGGCCATTTCATAACATTCACATTTTGATTCTGAAGCCATTTTTTGGTTGAATTTGAACAATGAATGGAAGCATTGTCCTGTTGAAATGTCTAATTTGGAAAACCCATCATTTCTGCTATAGGAAAGAGATGTTTCTAAGGTTGTGTTCTGAAGTATGACCAGATGAAAATTCAAGAATGAATGAATGAAAGTAATCTTTTTTTTACTTGTTTAAATATAAGTTTATTGGCAAGCGCCAAATCCGACAGATGGCGCTGTTTTTGAGACAAGATGGCTGCCGAAAGAGGTAAGGAACCTACCACGTGTTTGTTCAGTGCCTGAGCCGATTCAGTTTCTATCGGTGACGACTACTGCGAGGATCAAATGGAGAACAAATCATTGAATTCATGTTAAATTCTAGACTACCAGTATATCGGCGACAGGAAACGTTGTTTTGTAGAAGGTGAAGCCGTTTTGGATGCTGGGCACATCGTATTTTGTGGATTAAACTCTAACAACAACACCGAAGTTCATGTTGTTACTTTAGTGTTCTCAGATATTGGCATTTTAATACATCTCAATTACAGGAAAAATGCACGTGCAAAGCGGGCTGTCTGCTTTTTGTAAACATGTGATAGCATATTTGTTACACGTTAACAGGTGAGAAGTATTTAAATATTTTAAGCAGTATACACCATGTTCCAATATAAAAACTGTTTTATTTATCATAATAGTTAAAATTAGTGCCAATCTGAAGGCTACCCTGATGAGTCATTCAGCATTTATACGACATAGGCCAGTCAAAAGTTTGTACCATACATTACTGGTATGTTTTGTGTGTGTATGTACTGTACAGTACGTCTCATATATCCAAAACGGCTTCACCTTCTACAAAACAACGTTTCCTGTCGCCGATATACTGGTAGTCTAGAATTTAACATGAATTCAATGATTTGTTCTCCATTTGATCCTCGCAGTAGTCGTCACCGATAGAAACTGAATCGGCTCAGGCACTGAACAAACACGTGGTAGGTTCCTTACCTCTTTCGGCAGCCATCTTGGCTCAAAAACAGCGCCCTCTGTCGGATTTGGCGCTTGCCAATAGAATTTTGAAATGAAAGCTAAGCCTTATAGGAAATCTAACAAAGAGAAAATTTGGGTTAAACAATTTCTTTTTTGTAGTAATTTAAGATTGTATGTATTAGTTTCTTAGTTGTTGGGATCTTAGGGTGTAAAGATCTCTAATCGTAAAATCGCTGTTTATTATCTAACAAAGAAACTGTTATAACGGTCGGACTAGACACCGGTCACGTCCTGTTCATCTAACTGACCCAAACAAAAAGACATCCCCGAATCGCGCACCCACACGTAGTTGTGTGGCCGTCGGCCATAGTTTTATATATATTTTTGTTAATTTTAGTTAGGCTTAGTATCTCCTCTGTTCTTTTGTCTTAACTTTCTAGAACTTTCTCCCTTAATCCCTATTCCCTCGGGTGACATCACCGATTCTGTGAAACAATGTCAAGAAGACAAAAGGAGCAATAACCCCCTGGAGAGGAGGCGAGGTGAAAGAAAGGAGAAGTGGCTGCGATTTCGTCGAGAAAGGACGAAAACGAGTGTGGTCCTGACCGAGGGGTCGAGCAAGAAGTAAGAAACCTTGCGATAGAAAACCGAAGGAGGATCATACCCTGATCGCATAGTGAGAGATCAGAGGTATCAGAACCTTGTAAGACGGCTGAATTATAGAGGAACGTAGGGCAATTGCTAAAGAAATCGAGTT